TTTGACCCATTGGTTGTTACGTAGCATGTTGTTTAATCTCCACATAATTGTGAATTTTCCAGTTTTCTTCATGTAATTGATTTCTAGTTTCATACCATTGTGATCAAAAAGATGCTTGACATGATTTCAATCCTCTTAAATTTATTAAGGTTTGTTTTGTGGCCTACTATATGATCTATCCAGGAAAATCTTCCATATGTCCTTGAGAAGAATGTATATTCTATTGCTTTGGGTTGGAATGTTTTGTGCCTATCTGTTAAGTCCATCTGGTATTACGTGTTATTTAAGGCTAAAGTTTCATTATTGATTTTCTGTCTGGATGATCTATCCCTTGGTGTAAGTGGGGGTATTAAAATTCCCTGTCATTGAATTGATGTCTATTTCTCCCTTAAAGTCTGTTAATATTTGCTTTATATATTTAGGTGCTCCTATATTGGGTACATAAATATTTACAAATATTATATCATTTTGTTGGGTTGACCTTTTTATTATTATGTAACACCCATCCTTGTCTATTATTAAAGTCTTTGTTTTAATGTATATTTTATCTGACATACTTATGTATGGCTACTCTAGCTTTCTCTTGGTTGCAATATCTTTTTCCATTCCTTCACTTTCCATCTGTGTGTGTTCTTACATCTAAAGTGAGTCACTTGTAGCCAGCATACAGATGGGTCTTGTTTTGTTTTTAAGATTTTACTTATTTGAGAGAGAGAGAGCATCAGAGAGAGAGAGAGAGGGAGAGCACAAGCAGGAGGGAGGGGCAGAGGGGGTGGGAGAAGCAGCTCAGCAGGGAGCCTGATAAGGGGCTCAATCCCAGGACCCTGAGATCATGACCTGAGGTGAAGGCAGATGCTTAACCGACTGAACCACCCAGGCGCCCCCTTTGTTTTTGTTTTTTAATCCATTCAGCCATTCTATATCTTTTGATTGGAGAATTTAGTCCATTTATATTTAAAGTAATTATTGATAGGTATGTACTTATTGACATATTGTTAATTATTAGCAGTTTTTGTAGTTCTTCTCTATTCCTTTCTTCTTCTTTTCTTCCTTTGTGGTTTGATGGTTTTCTTTAGTTGTATACTTATATTCTTTTCTCTTTATCTTTTGTGCTTTTACTATAGGTTTTTGCTTTGTGGTTACCATGAGGCTTACATATAACAAATTATCTGGAACAGTCTATGTTAAGTTGATAAGAACTTACATTTGATTCCATTCTAAAGCTCCAGAACATACACGTAACCAAGAATTATTACACTATGGAGGGTAAGAGAAGAGCTTCTAACCAAATTCTGATTTCCTTACTCCATGTTTTCAAACTACACCATATTGTAATGACGTTAATAAAAATGGCAGCTGCTAGAGCAGCACTAGTTCATATTTATTGAATATATAACGTGAGCATGGAATTATTCTAAGAGCTTTACATTGGTTATCTCACTATTATTATACCTACTTAAGAGATAAGTAAACTAAGGCTAAGTAACTTGGCTACTTTACAAGTAACTAAAATTCTGAGGAGCCAGGATTTGAACCCAGGGAGTCTGATTCCATCATCCCTTCTTTCATCCATTCAGCTAGTGTTTATTGAGCAGCTACCATGTTCCAAGCACTAGGACAGTAGTGATGAATAAAAGAGCAGTGGTCACCCTACTCAGACATGGGATTTGTATGCCACCTCTGCCACTCTTTCACTCTGGAACTTGGTGCAAATCATTTAGGCCTCTGAGCCTCAGTTTCTTCATCTTCAACTGGGGATAATAATGTACCTGTCTAGCCGTTCCGAGCATCTTACAAGATACTGAATGTGAACATGCTTTGTTTTTTTTTTTTCTAAAGATTTTATTTATTTATTTGAGAGAGAGAGAATGAGAGACAGAGAGCACGAGAGGGAAGAGGGCAGAGGGAGAAGCAGACCCCCTGCCAAGCAGGGAGCCCAATGCAGGACTCGATCCCGGGACTCCAGGATCATGACCTGAGCCAAAGGCAGTCGCTCAACCAACTGAGCCACCCAGGCGCCCCGTGAACATGCTTTGTAAACTGTAAGACACTATACAAGAGTTATGTGTTAATAACATATTATAGTATCTCTGGAGCTTATGATGTCTAGGCCTTAGGACCTCCCTGTTTCCTTCTCAGGTCAGGAAACCCCTTTCTTGCTTAGTGTTTGAGAAGGAGGGAGAAGGACCAAGATTTGTACACTCCCCATGGCCGTAGTTCTGGCCTCTGGAGTATCCCCCACAACCTCTAGAACTCTCAAGGCTCTCCTCAGTCTCCATCCCTATTCCAGGGTTCAGTCTGGCCCTTGACCTATTACCTGAGACCCCATGGGCAGGGCGTTGAGAGCCACAAGGAAGAGGCTGCATTGTAACTGAGCTCTCCCGGGGACACCGGGGGAGGGGGAGGTGGAGGTAAGAGGCAGGGCCTACTTATTCATTAAGCAAGATGCCTAGAGCCCAGGATACTTTTAGTAGCCCATGAAAATGTTTTAATGTTCTCTAACATCATATGAAAAAACATATATGAAGGGGAGGAAATCAGAGCGGGAGACGAACCATGAGAGACTATGGACTCTGAAAAACAAACTGAGGGTTCTAGAGGGGAAGGGGGTGGGAGGATGGGTTATCCCGGTGATGGGTATTAAAGAGGGCACGTTCTGCGTGGAGCACTGCGTGTTATATGCAAACAATGAATCATGGAACACTACATCAAAAACTAATGATGTAATTTATGGTGATTAATATAACATAATAAAAATATATATATATATATGTAATCTATAATCTAGCTTGCTACTAGTACAATCATAAAACATGATTTATTTTTTAAAAATCTGCAAGGGAAGGGGCCCACAAAGGCAAAAATGCCTAAAGTCCACAGATGACACATCTGGAGGGAGACAGAGTCAAACTGTGCTTGGGCAGCATCTCCATCCATACACAGTTCCCTGGGTTCTCTCAGCTCATTCAGTTCATTTATTCATGTTCAGTTCATATGGAGGCATTTCTTTCCTTAATATAGAGACAGCTTCTCTTAGATAAGAGCTAGTCCATTTCCAGCAATAAGTAAGAGCTTAGGGCTTGGTGGATCAGTCTATCTACCTACCCACCTACCTACCGATCACCTATCTATCTACCTACTTATTTTTATAGAGACTTAGAGAGTCAACCCAGTAATTAACCCAGGACTAACATTGCTTCTTTCCATTTGCTGTGATTAGTAAATATGTTATCTCAGACAACTTTAAATTCCCAGTTTGAGAATTGATACACATCTCTTTGTGAGTAATGTTTGGTGGGTTAAGTAGTTCTGTTTAATATATCTAATTAATTTATTAAGAAGTCTTTGGGAAATTACCCTAGATTGAACTACCATGACCTTTGGTAGGTTCTGTTCTTGAATCTCATCTTTTTACAAAAATGTTCATCAACAACTTGTCCCAAGTCCTTTATCAATGGTTTTCAAATTGTGTTCTGAAGATCCCCTACATACATACACACATATAGTTCCTTTTCAGAGACCCCTCAGCATTGGGCTGGGGGCAGATGGGGGTAGTATGATGATACACTGGCAGGGCAAAACTTCTATCCCCTTCCCCGCCCTCCTTCTATTTATAGTAGCTTTTGTTTACTAGTGGTTACCATATAAGATTTTATTTGAACAATAGGTTCTGTGGCCAAATAAAACTTGTAAACCATTCTCTTTAACTGGAAGTTGATATTTTTGAGTACTGATGTGTCTTTATATAAGACATGTGTGTGTGTGTGTGTGTAAGCAATTTAAAGGAAACAATAACTTATATCTTAAGGATCAGATTTTAAATGTGGCATTTCTACTTCACTTAGCCTGTTCAACAGCTGAGTATTAACTCTGGTTCCTACTGGTTAGAAAAGTTCTACAACATTTGACATGCTTTGAGATCTCAATGGGTTGGGGAATCATGGAGAAATTCTGTTTTTGGCATTAAAATAAATGCTTCTATTAAGTTTCGTGATTGACAAGGAAGGGGGGGGTAAAATTCCATCTCCTAAAAGATCTATTTAAAAAATAGGTTATTTGGCTCTACTTGACTTTTGATATAGACCTTCAACCACAAAGACATTCTCTGGAATAAGAACCCACCACAGGCAAACCCACTTGTAAACTGGGGGAGAGGGAGAATTTGAATGTAAACCCCTAGAACTAGAGGACTTTTTTTTTTTCCATTTAAAAAAGCCTTCCTGGGGTTCATTTCCATAAGTGTGCATTTCCTCTTCATGATCCTGGTCATTAATCACCAGTTAGTGTTTAATGAACACCTGCATGGATCATAGGTTCCACAATCCAACCTGAAACTCAAATTTTAGGTTGTCTCTTCCTCTAATAATTATAATCCACCCCCAGGGGCTGTTCCTGACTTGTCTGGCATTTCTGTTTTTGCAGAACTTGAATCAGGGCACAGGGCTTCAATGTCTTCTCTTATTCCTCCCTTCGCCTTTTCTCAAATCCAGAATCTCTTAACCTCTGCGTGATTGTCATTTTGAGCTGAATAATTCTTTATTGTGGGGAGTGCGGGTGGGGGGGGCTATCCTGTCCTTTGTTGGATGTTTAGCAGCATCCTGACTTCTACCCACTACCCACCAGTAACTCCCCAGCCCCAACTGTGACAACCAAAATCTCTCCAAACTTTGCCAAATATCCCCTTGCAGGGGTGGTGGAAGGGAGTGAGAAGGGGGTGAAGCTGCTCCCTGTAGAGAACCACTGCTCCAAATCTATGAGGATCCTAAGCCTGAGAATCCTACCAGAAATCACCTGGTCACCACCAGACATGGTTCTCAAAGAAAGCTTAGACATATGTAATTTAACCAAGTCAATGTTATCAACCTCTGTTGCACATTTGAATCACTGCAATATTTACAAATGATTAACTGGGACTTAGTATTTTTTAAAAGTTCCCCAGGAGATCTCAATTTGACATAGGATAAACATATGTACTTAGCAGTCATAATACTCATAAAAACTTAAAAAAAAAAAAGCCACCAATTTTATTTCAAATAGGAAATATCCAGGTAGTTTCAGAGCAAGAAAAAACATTCCATGTTGATAGATTATAGAACATAGGCCACTGGAGACATTTCACATTTACTTTTTGTTCTGTTCTCATCACAAAGCAATTGGGAACCTGGATACCTCTGGGAATGCTGGGCTTTTTAACAGTTTGAAGGTGCATCATTTGATGTAGAGCAATTTCTCTGGTGCTTGTAACTCAGAGACTTGTCACCAAAGTGACATCAATTAGGAAACTTCACAGGGAAGAGCCCGACCAAGGGGAAATTCCCCAGATGTAATGCTTGTGATTGGCAAGGAAGGAGGTGTGAGAATTAGAAAGAGCAAGGGTGGGCTAAGGAGGGAGGCATTCTGATAATGTTTTTTCAACACATGAAAAATATGACCAAATTGCGACCTCTTTCCTTTGTTAGTGTTTCAGTAACAGCAGGAATAAAACCACATGATGGTCTCACTGATAAGAGGAATTCTTTTTTTTTTTTTTTTAAAGATTTTGTTTATTTATTTGAGACAGAGAGAATGAGAGACAGAGAGCACGAGAGGGGGGAGGGTCAGAGGGAGAAGCAGACTCCCCGCCGAGCAGGGAGCCTGATGTGGGACTCGATCCCGGGACTCCAGGATCATGACCTGAGCCGAAGGCAGTCGCTTAACCAACTGAGCCACCCAGGCACCCCGATAAGAGGAATTCTTAATCTCAGGAAACAAATTGAGGGTTGTTGAAGTGTAGGGGGGTGGGAGGGATGGGGTAGCTGGGTGATGGACATTGGGGAGGATAAGTACTATGGTGAGCGCTGTGAATTGTGCAAGACTGATGAATCACAGACCTGTACCCCTGAAACAAATAATACATTATATGTTAAGAAAAAAAAAACCACACGATGAAGGTCTTTATATTTTAGGATCCCGGGAACATTACATCCAGAAGGTGTACACATTTTGGCAGCTGCCAATCCCATGTCTTCTGGCTGGCCGAGGAGGGCTGGCCGAGATTCTTGGCCAGTTACTGATCTTCTGAAAGGTATACGATGCAGTAGATGAGGTTCAACTTTCCATGTGACCTTAGGCAACTCACTTAACTTCCCCAAGACTTTGTTTCCTTATCTGAAAAAATGGGCAGCATGGCATTTACCTCGGACAGTCACTATGAGGATTAAATTAGATAATAAATGGGAAAGTGTTTTTGTGAACTGTAAAGCCCCATGAGGTAACACTATCTTTCCTGGGACCTTCTATTCTGAAGATTCCACTAGACCAAGATCCCATGGCTTCCAGTTTTGGCTTCTAGGGCCTGTGTAGAATAACGGATGAGTGCAGACATTGACTTAACTTGTCAAATGTCTGTCCTCAAGTGGACAATTAGGAAAGTACATTTGAGTTAAAAGTACAGGGTGATGTAATTTTCATGCCTGAGGTTATAGTTGTATTTTAGGTCATTATATACTAAAGACAAGAAAATTAACTGGTGCCCTCTAAAATGCAAAGAGCAAGAGATTAATCTGATAAATGGTTTCCATTAAAAAATTCCATTTGGTTTCCCAAATTTATCTTGTCTCCTGAGGTTTCTGAATGCCGCAGTGTCCTTCCCTGTGCTTTCCAGCGTATTCTACTGATTCCTATATCCCTAGGTTTGAAGAGTATCTGTATTTATACCAATATAGTTGCGCAACATAACTACAGAGTTAACCTATTAGCTCCCTAATTCATGGACATATTAATTAAAATCACAGTTTTTGTCTTTCAATTTAGTTTTGGTTGATACTCCAAACATAATCTTTGTGGAAAAAATAAGGCTTTCGTAATGCTTTTTCATACAGGTAGTGCAGCTGAGATCATCCAAATAAGTCCATGGTCAAGGTTCTAAGTTATCAGTGCTTGCCTAGTAATAAGGATTCTCATCAAAGGATGAAACAAACAGAGCAGGAAATAAGGCTATTTCAGGGGACAGTCAGTGCTATTCTGGGGGAAACCGGTGAAGAAGAGGTCAGCATTTACAAACTTTCACTTGAATGCTTTTACAATTAGGTGCCTCACATGGCTAGCAGAGGAAATTGGGTGGATTCCATCCTAGTCTTGTGAAAACACAGACCCCTGGATGCCATCTTTTCTGAAGAGAATACTGGGGCAGCCAATGGTAAACCCGAACTGAGCACACTACTACATTATCACACTAAGTTCATATTTATCTAGTTTCTCCTCAGATTGTCCTGTCTCGAAGTCTGGGTCAGGATCTTGGTGGTGGATCTCAATGATAAGAATGTAGATGAGGCCTCCAATGACCGCGCCAACCAAAGGACCCACTACGGGAATCCACCAGAAGTTATTTCCAGCTCTGAAATCAAACAAGAAGTTAGTGATACACCACTTGGATCTTCCCCCTGGTATTACTAGCTATTCACTAACAAGCCCATCTTTCTCATGCTCCCGGTTCCCTTTTAACTCAGCAAGAGCTAAGTATAAGGACATTCACTGTGCTTCGCAAGCATCATCCTGGATTTTTCATATACCTTATTTCAGATGATCTATTCCATTGTCCTATTAGTACTCGTGAGAGAATATGTCCCATTTATTTTCCTTTCATGAAAGAGAGTCCCTGAACCCACTGTCAGAATTGAAGGCATCTAGGGACAGTGCTGGTGGATTATTCTGAAACTGCCTTTCCCTCATCCTGAAATGATGAGTCCTGGGAATTACAAATAGAAGGATGTGGAGAGGTTCCTGGGTAACGTTGGTCTAGGAGGGCAATCACAGAATAAACAATCAGGAAATGTTTGTCAATGAATGAATTTAAAAAATGAAAGGTGGACATACGAATTACCTACTAAATATAATTTAATTTCATGCTTATTTTTTGAGGTCACAGTTTCAAGCTACTCTCTGATAAGGCTTTTCTGCCATGATTCCCTGTCTTCTGCAGAAGTCCTCAATAACAGTACATTATACTAGAAGTATAGTTCTGGGAGAAAGCAGGTGCCTTCATAAATTGTCACCATCTTTTTCGGAGACAGGAAATCCATTTAAATAACTCCATAGGAAGGAACACGAAGCTCAGAAGCAAGCAAAATTGTACAGTAATACTCTAAAATTATTTAAGGATTTATACATTTCAGATAAAACTTTTTTAAAGCAGGGGAATGATAAACACCAGCACTGAGGATAATGCGGAGGAGGCAGGGGAAAGAGCAAGTGCATTCGCATATATTGAGGACTTCACAGTTGGGGAAAGGTTCATGGCTGTTCTTTTTATCATTATGCTTAATAACCGTATACATGTTCCAGGTGGCCTGTTGTTTGTATCACGTTTGAATTAGAAAGGATAATAAAGGAACTAAGCCCTGCTCTTGACCCTCATTCTTCCCTCTGCATGGTGATCCCTTCTACCTGGATCGTCCCCAGAAATCCTAGCTCATGAATTCAGGCTCGAGGGAAGAGCCCTGAGGTTGAGCACCGCGGCCACCAGATGTCACTCTTACTGCGCAGGAGAGAGGACACTGCACTTGGCTGCTCTCCATACCCAGGAGGGGCGAGTCCCCAAATCCAGGAGGGCTTTCCTATGAGAGGCACATGGGCTTTAAAGAGCTAGGAGCCTTCTCTTTGGTAAACACATGAAACAAGTATAAGCCCCCTTATTTTTCTCTCATTTCCTTTCTTTCATCGTGATTTAACCGCAAATCTCACTGTCCTTTAACAGATTCGGGTCCCAGGTATCTGCCAGGACTCACGTCCTTGTTTCACTGGCCGGACTCTCAGGGCTGAATGTGTGGTGCCAGGGTCACAGCTCAGAGATAGAGGCCCTCGCACGTGGCTTCCTGCCTGGCCGGGTCTTACGTGTCCACAGTGTCATCCGCACGCCGTGATTTGGGGGATGCCAGGACAATGTCTGTGTTACTTGCTTAAGGTACGCACCACCATCAGGGATTCATTCCTTTGGGTAAACTTTAAAATATAAACAATATCCCTGAGATCCTTCATCCATGAAGTCATTAACACCTTAATGTGAATTTGTGGAGAGCGCTTAGATGGAAAACTTCCTAATATTTAAGGGAAAAGCCAGAGTCAGCCGGGGTCTATTGACTTGCCCTTGTCAGACCCTCTGGTGCCCCCTGCCCACGGTCATCCTCACTGCCTGCCAGACAGGGACGAGTGGGGACCCGAGAGTTAGGCAGTCTTGGTTTTATCTGGCACCAAGCTAGGGTATCTACTGAGATGCTTACCAGGGATGAGGAACCCTGAAAGGGTGGGACGATCTAGGAACACTCTGGAGATCTGTTATCCCTCCAAGGTTTTCTTGGGCAGTTTTGAAGATTACCAGCCAGCCAGCTCTTTCCTAACTGGTTTCTGCTCCTCTATCTCTCCTTTTTAATCCATTTTATGTAGTGATGTCAGATTAATTTAGTGAATTGGAGTTCTAAGCATGTCACACTTCTGTTCTAAATCCTTCCGCTGCTTCCCGTAATCTATGGAAGAGGGAGCAGCCCAGACCCCAGTCTTTCACTCTGGGAGTCTAGAGCCTCTGTGATCTGACACGAGTTGTGCTTTCCAGCCATCTCCACGCACCCTTCCAGCTAGACGAGATCACTTGTTAGTTTAACATTCCGTCCTTGTGAACAGATCCTCTCTGCCTGAAACCTCCTCTCTGTCCCCCATTTAAGCGTGTCCAAATACTATAAAATGCCCCTACTTCCACCCCCATAATTCCTAAATTTGGAGTTGCAAACCTCTCAAGTGCTGGAGTTAATGAGTCACATCTCCTTAACGGCACTAGGCAGCTTCAACTGGTGTAAGTACCTATGCTGAGCCCGCTGAACAGAACACAAAGGCAACAGAAGGGCAGCAGCTGGGTTTCATCATCTCCAGCCCGGGGCCTTGAGCAAGAGTTCAGGTAGCTGCAGGGGTGGATAAATGAATGCACGAAGGGAAAAGACCCTGACACAGAGGGACATGGAGCTGGTCTGGCAGTAGGGGATTCTGGCATTTTGCCACAGACATGATCTCTTACCATATACTTAACAAAGCCAAGGGAGGATAGGTAAGCCCTCTACTGATCTTAGAAGCACCACCACTCCTAGAGCTTTGGGTGAGTCACAAAACGGGGCTCAAAAGGAAGCCTTCGAGGCCTATTTGTTCCAGGGGTCTGTGTGAAGCTAACAGAGGTGACCTGGCTGTGGGGGCAGCAGTCTCCTAGACTGAGGTTCAGGGAGGTGGGATTATCGAAACTCAGGTTAATTCTGGGCTCTGGGACTCTTTCTGACATGTTTTTCATTCTCCATCGGGAGGACACAAAAGAACCTTCTTAGTTGGGGACATTTTGTTCAACCTTTTCATGTCCTAGTGGTAATCATTCTGCAACAAGAGCTCCTCACCTGTGGTACTCTTAACATTTTTAGCCAAATAATTCTTTGTTGTGGGGATCTGTCCTGGCTACTATAGGGTGCTTGGCAGTGTCCCTGGCCTCTCTCTACCCACTAGATGCCAGTAACAACCTTCACCTCCACCCTCCCCAGTTGTGACAACCAAAAATGTCTCCAGGCATTGCCAAATGTCTTTGGGTGGAAAAAATTACCTCTGGTTGAGAACCACTGGTCTAGAAAACTCATTGCATTATTAGTTTCTTAAAGATAGGGGATGTTGCTTGATTTTCTTTGTATTTCTCATCTCCTAGGACATGCCGGGCACATAGCATTTGCCCATTCTTTCATTCAGACTTTACTGACTTCTCCTGAGACTCTGTATATGCCAGGACCTGGTCTTGTTACTGTGGGGGCGGCGGTGAGGAAGCGGCCAGGTCCCTGTCCTCAGGATGCTTACGTTCTAGCAGTTCTCAACCTTGTTTGTGGTGGTTATCTGACTGGTGTCAGTTATTTTAATAGCTACTTTTTCACACTGGTGAAGACAACCCAAACTTTCACTTAAATAAGTCATCACATGTGTATGATTATATGTACAGGTCAGCATTTAGGGACATTCAAGTCTTTTCTCACAGCAAATATCACTAGAATTTCCTCACACGTGTCTTTCCTACTTCTCTTTCTCCATGTTGGAGCCCTGTTACTTGATGAACCAACGTAAGTTCCTTTCCCACAGAGAGATGTGCTAAGTGGATGGGAACAGACCACTGTGATTGCATGGGGCAAAAGTGGGAAGGAATAAATGGGCACAGTGTGTCCTGGAAGATTGGTACCAACAGTTGACGTATTTCCTCAGCACATTCTGAGGTAGAAAGTATGACGTCTTGCCATTTCCTGTGCACAGGTTCTCTTTCATGTCTGTTCCACCAGGGATTTCCTACTCATACCTCAAGACCCAACTCAGCCCTCACTTCTTTGGTGATGCCTTTCCCAACTTGTGAGGCATAGCTAGTCACTCTCTTATCTGCGTTCGCTAAGCACTTTGTTTTGGGGGTTGCCAGAGCCCTTACTATATTGCTCAAGGCTAGTGTTTTAGCTGATTTTGAAATCTCCTTACGTAGCAGAGTGACCACAGCACAGATAGTGTTGAGTAAAGATCTGCTGAATGAGTGAAGCATAGCATGGTTCACTAGCAAGAGCCCAGTAGTCGTATCAGAAGATGGAAATTCTACGTGCAACTTTATCACAAAGTGAATCTGCAGACAAGCTATACAACCAAAATACTCACATAAAGCCATCTACTAACTGAGGATTTATTATTATTATATAGGGTAGGCCTATCTCTTTTGAATTTACCTGGAGCCTCTCTCTGTCTCTCTCCCTCTCTCTTTCTCTTTATCTGTGTCCATGTGTGTCTCCCCTTACCCCCACACCCCAAATCACAAATCGTCAGTGAAACAATCCACACTGATGACCAGAGCATGCACTTAATCTCCACACTCCCAACTGAACTCTCCCGGACCTCCCTGGTCTAAGCACAGCCCTTCCCGGTAAGGCGCAGCATGAATCTCTCTTCCCCCGACACCACCAATACTTACGTGAAGACCTCAAACCCCCAACCTGCCAAAGCAGTGAAAAGTCTGGGACTCAGGTCTCGAGCTGGGTTCATGGCACAGCCACTGTTCAGTCCCAAGGAAGAAGAAATGGCGATAATCAGGAGGCCGATGACAATGGGCTCTAGGCCTTTGGGGACTCCCAAGTTTCTGGAGTCAAAAATGGCAAAGACAATCATGAGGAGGAACATGGTGGCCACTACCTGGGGAGAGAGAAAATGCACAAGGGATTTAACTTGTATTCTGCTCACTCACTGACCTCAGAATTCACCCCCTCTTGTTACAAACAAACCTGGTAATAACTAACACACACTGGTGAGCACACTGTGCCAGGCTCTCTTCTCATCACAGCAATCCTAGATGTGGGGCTAGCATCATTTACACATTAGTGACGTGCCAAGGTCACCTACTCAGTGGCAGTCAGGTGTGGACCCAGAGAGTTCGGCTCCGGAGACTGTTATCTTGACTACAACTATCCTGCTAAGCTACCATCCTGCTAAACAGAAAGGCAAGTTGCTGGCTGTCAAAATGGTTGAAGATGCTCAGTCAAACTAGTGAGAAGAACAACGTGAGACATCAGTGGATAAGCGGGCAAAGAAAATGAAAAGAAAATTCATAAGAGAAAAATAGAATTAAGAAAGAAAGAAGTGAGAAAAACTAATTTGTAATGAAAAAAGGCAAATTGTACTAAACATTAGGGAAATGATACCAGTTCTCTCAGGCTCTTCTAGTAGAATGACACATGCCACTTTCAAAAGGAATGAAGATACCGTCCTTTTCGATGAAAGCCAAAGTTTGAGAGAGAGAAAGTCAGCCTTCTTTCTCTCTTACCTCTAATGGAAACGACCTGAATTCACATGAGAAATCTCTAATGAGATAGCCCAGCCCCAATTCCTAGAAAGGTCTTCCTTTTATTGGGTGTAACTTTATCTCACCATAATTTCATGGACTAAATATTTTATAATTCGTGTATAAATATTAGTGTACATATATTACATAATTAATTTGTAAGTATATTAATAAATATTTATTGAGCACCCGTTATGTACTAACTTCCACCAAATCTCCATGGAGGATGTACATACCAAGCCTAGCTTCTTTTGCACTTGACACTCCTTCAACTCTTTGAAAGCTACTAATCCATCCCATCACCTCCAGCCCCACAGCTCCCACACACACACCTGCTCGGGAGTAAACATCCCCATTCTCCACTCATTGCTGTGTGACATCATTAGCTTTTGGTTCCTCTCTTGTAGTAGTATGCCCTCTTGAACTGTGACATTTGGAAATGACTCTAATACTCCCAGTATGGAATAGAGTATAAAACGCTAAACTACTTCATTTGAATACTATCTTTCAATTTTTTCAGCTTATGAGAACACCTTTTTCTCTGGCAGCTACATCTCTCTGTATCTTTGCCACCAAAACTTTTCTCATCATCCCAGCTCATTTAGGCTCTTGGTTCCAAATGACTAATGTGATTCCCACAGTCCAGTTTCCCATCTAATTGTCTTCACTTTTGCATTGTTCCTTTTGTCCTCAGGTGCTCATTTTGTTTTTTGCTAGATTCAAAATTCCTGGGCAGAGACTGTTTACAATGCATTTTCCTTATATTATTCACTTCGTCCTTATAAAGTAATCTGCTAAGTGCTCATATTATCCCCACTTTACGAGACCCCCAGAGTTCAGTAATTTAGCTGAAGTTGCTCAGGGAGTTGGCACAGAACTGTTATTTTAATTCAGACACTCAGACTCCAAATCTCAGATCTTTATGATGCACATTTACTTGTCAGTCCCTCAAGCTCCAGACACAGGGCTGAGCATACAGGGAGGGCTCAAGAAAGACTTGTTGGTTGCCTGTTTGGTTTGTTGATCAAAGTGGAAAGGAAAAAGACTGAGGGCATGAGGGCATGGTTTTTTCATCTATCCATTAAATGGAGGTGGGCAGGGTTGGTAATCTGGAAGATCCCTTTTATACACATGCCCCCTCTACCCTGCCCCATCATGATCACAAGAGAACAACTGAGAGTTGCTGGAGATGTCCTCCCTCCCTCCTTCCTTCCTTCCAGGCTGACCAGCAGGCTTTCTGGGCTGCAGTATGGGAGGAAGAGGCTATCAGGTTGACGATGTTCGTTCTGCCACAAATTGACCAGAAGAACTGTGCTATTGGCTACATCACAGATGGCTGGGTGCAGCTTGTTTAGATGTCCATAGGGCAGAGACACTTCTAGCTACCTTGAGAGGTTAGATAAACCTATGCACCTGAGGAGACACGAGGACTAGTGATACTCTAGGCTCAACTGCCACACTTCACAGTCCTTGAATTGAGATAGAAAGGTCTTTTCTTGTGGCCTCCATGTTCAGAGCACAGAAGAGACAGTGATCAGAAAGCAAACCCTATTTGCCCCTTTAGGGGTTAAAATGTCCAGTTGTCCACTCTTTTCTGGACCTCAACCAATGTGAAACAAGTGTATGCATATTTTTTAAAGATTTATGTTGTTTATTTTTAGAGAGAGAGAGAGCAGGGGGAAGGGCCAAGGGAGAGAGAGAATCTCAAGCAGACTCCCTGCCCAGTGAGGAGCCTGATGAGGGGCTCGATCCCATGACCTTGAGATCATGACCTGAGTTGAAATCAAGACTTGGGCACTCAATCAACTGAGCCACTCAGGCGCCCTCAAGTGTATCTATTAAAGAGGAAGCAGAAAACTTTTTTAGTGGTATCAACTTTGGTAAAGGGAAAAACTTGTCAAAAATGCTTGGGTTATGCCTTGTGACCTCTGACTTTGGAAACACAGCCTTTCCTTCTTGATGGACTATAATGCTCCTGTGCATTCCCCTTATTAGATCATATCTTTTCACCAAAGTTTGATCTTTGTTAAATGATACCTACTTGGTCTGCAAACGCATTCGTCAAAGACAGATATGGAGCTGGGTACGTTGCAAAAATGTGGGCTGTTGCATTTTCTCCCACGATGAGCAATTTTCCACCAGCAAAGGCCATAAGTCCATCTATGGAAGAAAGAACTCTCACATTAGTGTTCTCTGGGCAAAGCTGAGGGAAGTCTATGCCTGGTCTTGTGCTAAACAACCGCAACCCAACACTCAGCTTCAGCTTAGCAGATCCACACCACATGCCACTCCTCACTTCATAGCACGGCAGTTTTAGAGATGCCCAGAGAAATTCTAGGATGTCAGGTCAAAGATAGAAAGCCCTGGCTGCCCTCCATGGTTCACTCCACTTGAGCCATCCTTATCCAGTGAGTCCAGGGAACTAATTTTTGGGGGGAGAATCCTTGGAATTTTTGAAGTCAACCAAATGGCAAGGTGGAGCTTCAATCTACCGTAGGTAGAATTCATGATTCCCAGGGGGTTCTCAGTAACCCCTGATACCAGTCCAGAAATTGAGGGTGTTGTGGTACAGTGAAGATGCCCTTAGTTCAAGGGAGACCGCAGTCCCCAACACAGCCAACGCCAACCCCAGGTCTCTCCTGCCACAGCAGCTGGCTCTCCTGAGTTTCTGATCTGGTCTCAGATTCTCCATCAGTCCTCTTAAGCTCTATTTCTCAGAAAGACACTCTGTGGGAAGAAGTCTCCGTCCACAAAGTATTTCTTGAAGGCACGGTTCTTACATTCTAGCTCCTAGGTGGGCTTTAGTTTGAGAGTCCTAATGTACTGAGACTTACCTTGGATTAGACAGAAGGAACTACTTCAACCACTGATTTCATGCAATCTCAAAGATTTTTAGTTTGAGGGGTCTTAGAAGCCAAGTCTCTCATTTTCCAGAGGAGGAAACTGAGACCGACAGAGTCAAATGACTTACACTTAAGTCCCCCAGCTACTTACTGACACAGGACAGAATTAAAGTCTGGGTCTTTGATGGCCAGTACTGTTTCTCTCCCAGGACTGTTGCAGAACAGAGTTCCTGGTTGTTGGACAGAATGGGGAAGAGATTCTCCACCTAGCCTATTCTCAACTGCACCCCTTCCTTCAAAGACTTTGTTCCAGATTCCTTCTCTGAATACTTAATCATCATCACCTTTGCTACCAGTCAACACCCTCTCTCCCAGCCAAGTCAGAGAAAGCTTGTGGAGAAGCCACTGGCCCATTGCTTATTTTGTGCAGGTCACCCTGTAGTACTGATTGGACCTAAAGATAGACTTCTAGTTCTGCCCTCCATTTAAATTGTGACCATTTTCTTACAAAGGCTTCATGAATTTGTCCTAATGATAATGTTGGCCCCATTATTCAGAACTTCGAATTCGTAGAACTGCCTGCCAATTGTGGAACACTTCCCTGTTCTTGCCTTATCTCAGCTCTTCCTAGCAAGTAATTCTGACTTCCTAATTATGGCCAGCTCTCCCTAACCTCTGGGCTCGGGGACCTACTCACCATGGTAAACGCCAAAGAGGGTTGCAGCTCCTGCAAAGGCTCCCAAGAACTGGGCTCCCACATAAAAAGGAAATTTGAACCATTTCATTCGTCCAAAGAGACACATTGCAAAAGACACAGCTGGGTTGATGTGGCCACCTACAAGAAAGAGAAGATGATTAGGGATGTTAGCAACAGGCCAGGGAGAATTATTACACAGAAAACCTTATCTAGAGACCTCAGGCAGAACTCAGTCTTCCAGGTAGAGAACTGTGTGAAGAGACAGAGACTTAGGTGTATGTGAGTGTGTGTGTATGTGTGTGTGTGTTTGTGTTTGAATGGGGAGGAAAGGCAGACCAATAACCCACATGCATCATTAGACACTGTCTAGGAAGTTCAGCTTTCTGAAAAGGGAGTCAGATATGGGAAGAAGCTGGTACTCAAGAGGCTTATTTTGTATCTCTACCTTCGATCTACCATCTACCTAGCTATCATCTATCTACCAGGCTTTTATCTATCTATAAAACAATAACCTCAAAGAGATGGATATAAACTGTTAACTTCAATATATTTTTAAGTCAATATATTTATACAATATATTGTTTAAAGTTTAAATCTGCATCTAGCAATTCCTCAGCCCATGTTCAGAGGATATAAAACAATCTTAAGATGGAAAAGAGATGGGGTGCCTGGGTGGCTCAGTTGGTTAAGCGACTGCCTTCGGCTCAGGTCATGATCCTGGAGTCCTGGGATCGAGTCCCGCATCAGGCTCCCTGCTCAGCAGGGAGTCTGCTTCTCCCTCTGACCCTTCTCCCTCTCATGCTCTCTGTCTCTCATTCTCTCTCAAATAAATAAATAAAATCTTAAAAAAAAAAAGATGGAAAAGAGATGTCTATGGGAAAATAAACCTTGGCTGGCGGGCTGTCCCTCTCACTCAGGTAAGGGGCTCAATTTACTTTGAGGTGATCACAGTGTCTGAGTGGATTCTGCTCAGTTCCTCTGCCTAAACAATGTATTTCTCTCACACACAGAATGTAGCAACACTTCCAACACCCCAACCTAAACTCCTGCTAGAGAAATCAGTCTCCTGGTTTCTCATCTAGTCACCAGATCAGATAGTGGGTTTGCTCAGTGGTAGGTCACCAATACCCTAGCCGGCTTTGCTAGTAACAGCAACAACATTTACTGAACACTTGCTATACATTATTATTGGGGTATTACATGCATTTCACCTTTATAAGAACCTAGTGAGATGGGTATTACTCCAATTAACTGGTAAGGAAACTGAGGCACAGAAGTTAAGCAACTTTTTTAAGGCCACATGATCAGTTAAGTAGTGGAAATGGGCTATTCAAATGCAGGTTGATATGAATTCTAGAGTCTATGTTCTATGTTATACCACTTCCAGACCTCCTTCACCATGTTTATAAGCCTTCCCTGCCTTAGTGGGCAGAAAAAAAAAACCACAAACATTTCAAATATCATCTTTGAGTGCATATGGGCTTAGTTCCTAAAAATGAAAGATGTTCATTTGCAGGGTACACTTTGTGTGGAGGGTGAATTAGAGTCACTGTCAATGTGACCACATTGAAATGTGGACCTTTGGGGTGGGGACATAGTTGTGAACAAGAGATGATAATGATGATGATGAAGGAGGAGAAGGAGGAGGAGAGAAGAAGAAACTTCACCATTTGATTCTCTACAGAACCTATAGGTCAGCCTGCTTCTGGAAAGCCTCCCCCTGTGAAGAAAGCAATGCTCTTCTTGAGTCTCTAAACCAAAGTGGGCTGGCAGGGAGTGGTTCTCACTGCTGGCTAAGCCACAAGGGTCCTTTCTTCACCTGCCCCTGCCACTTAGGGGCTAATATGAGCAAGAAAATGCCAATATATCAAAGTATGGGTGATTTCCTGAAGCCTTACAAACACCTCAACTGGTTTGTTTTACTTTTAAATCTAAGAAAGCCACAATTCTGGAGACCAGCAGGAGCACCACTTACTAGGCAAGCTGGGAACAGGGGTTAGGAGAGAGGAGTACACAGGCAATGGAAAGTTCCCGAAGCCAGCCCTGTTTCTCTATTCCCAGAGGCTATTTGGAGAAGAGCTGCCACCCAGCCTGCGCAGAGAGATCCATTGTGAAAGGACAAGGGCCCATAAGAAATCAGTCCCAATCAAAAACACCTCCCCTCAGACGAGTCCATCAATTTGAGAGTTATGTGTTTGGCAAGCTCCTCTTCCAGAATAAAACCTCCTACAGGTAGGGTTCTAGTTTGTAGACTCTCATAAGCACCTTGAGGCAGGGTGCTCATTCTTTGTCTCGGACTTTAAACAATGCATGCCACGCAGGAGGTGTTCAAATCTGAAAGTTGATTCAATAAGTCGTCAGAGGCCTTTATTCAAGGGTAGCTCAGACTATGAAGGCCTGCCGAGAAGGACAGTTGTTTGGGAATCAGAGAGGTGTGTCTGGGAGGGTGCCTTACAAAGCAACAGGAAGATTTCTCCTTGCAGGGATGAGTGCTCAGCCTGGCTTACTGCCGGACAAAGCAGAGCAGTGTAGTGGAAAGAACACAAGTGCTGGACTCGGGGAGCGCCGCCCTCAAGTCCTGGCTCTGTCCAGGTTGTTGTGAAGATCAGATGATTCATAAGAAGAGCCCAGGGTGGAGCTGGAGCCTGCCTGGCCCGAGATCAAAGTCTTAACGTGAGCAGAATGAACACTTTCAAGGTGCTGTTCTGGGCAAGTCTCCTCCTTCCCCATACTCACAGACCATTCTGCGATAGAGACAACCTTAATATTTTATTTATCATGATGCAAAGCCCTCTTGCTTTTTTGAGAATTTATATGGCTTAAACAATGTTACATCACAAACAGCCACCATACATGGAGGCAGCGTAAACACTTAATGTTGGATGTTGCATCATTAATGGGGGAGTCGTGAGTTCCGATCGGCAAGATTTGAGGGGCAGACCACTGGCATGTTCACAAGGAGGAACAGTGTGATAACTTCCTTCCAGGAAGGTAATGTTGTATATTGCAAAACCAGATGTCAGTTGACTTCACCAGTCTGTGACCACAAAATGGGATCTTATTTATGTTTATGCCCATTGTACAATGGTTATTTTTGGAATCCTCAAAGAGGGCCTCCTATGTGCTCGCAAACCAGTATGTTAGCTGCGGCCAAAGGAGAAAGTCACCTCCCCCCCGTCCCCCCTCCCCCCCACCGCCAGTCTTCCTCTCCCATTACTGTGGCTGCTGAAACCAATACTGATGTCTGCCTGGGTGTTAACGGTGGCCTGGTGTGTGGTCTCTGTGCATTCCCAAAGCCACCAGTCCTCAAGGAGCTGAACAGTGCTAGGTTCCAGAGATGGGGAGATAAGCTTCCTTTCCGGCCCAATGCAGCCTTGTATCAGCCAGGCTCAGAAACTGCTCTACTTATATTTTGGGGTCTCACAGACTCAGGTGAACAGGTCGGCTCTTAACCCTCATCTGGAAAGAACCTCTAGTAGAAATAGTCCCACAGGCTCTAGCTCTCACCCTTCTGAGCACAGGGGCTTAAACCCAGTCCAGGGCCCAGATGGGAAGACTTCACACCATCTCTCACCTTCTCTTCCTCTTCCTGCTGGTCTTCGCCCTTTTTTTTCCTATGTTGACTGCCCAAATCCCCGAGTATATCAATAGATGTAAACAGACATGGGCCACATTGGTGATGAAAGCTATTACCTACACTGGTAGGGTCTGGGACCCATTTCTTCTGAATAAATATGTGATGATGTTCAATTCAGGGTGTTATGCAGGTGAAATATTCCAAAACCGTGTCTCTACCTAAAAAATACGCCCACATTTATATTCCCCAGTTTGTGGCCACCAGCCTTGTGTGAACGTAGTGGGAGCCAGAGGGGGCAGCTGTGGGGCATCTTGCAAGCTTGCTTTAGGCCACGCCTATGATCTGTTTGCTGTCAAGGCCTGCACTATAGTTAGGATGGTCCCCTGCCTACTGTGGTGTTTAGGTAGGCACTACAGTGCTGGGATCACAGCAAAGACTTGACAAGAGTGTGAACATAAACACTGCTCATACCAAACAAACCACACACACAGCCATCTCTAACGTGGACCGCCGCAGGATCTGAGTCTATGCGCTACGGAAAGGTGGCAGCCAGCAGATGACTGTTCCAGGTGCCCAGCCCAACGGGGCCCCCAGGGGGTCTGGGCAACCATTCTTCAGTGTTTCAGTGGCAGCATCTGTCACCAAGCCAGCCGGCTTGACTGCAGGTTCCTCCGCCAGGACTGTTCTGCCCAAAGACCCTGCTTGTAATGTCACGCCCTTCCCATAATAGACCATTGTGAACACTGCGTAATGGTGGGGACAGGAGTTTTGCTGTCACGTAGACCTAGGTCAAGTCTTTGCTCTGCTTCTTTACCAGCTGGGGGGACTCGCCATTTTCTTAATTTCTCGGAGCTCCAGGTTTCTTGGTGGCATGGAGACAGGAACCCCTGCGGCAGAGCACTACTGTAGAGAAAGGGGACAGAGTATGCACAGCAAGACCGCACAGGGCCCCGCGCGGGCTTCCCTTTCTTCCCTCAGGCTCAGCAGGCTTGCCTTAGTGTTCTGACCGGGCTGCTGAAAGATTCTGAGCACCTTTGAGAACTGCATCATTTCCACAGACCTCTCCTGAGTTCCCAGACTGCATTAAGTAGCATCATTTCATTTTGCTTCTCAGAACTTTGTGAATGGGTTCTAATCAGCCCCCCACTCGGGGCAGAATTCGACCAAGAGCACTGCTCGATGAGACCTGCACTTCCACGAAAGCACCAGCCATTTTGCAAGTGGCCTAGACTTTTCTGATTGTTGTGGGTAAAGGTCCAGGGACTTGTCTCTGTTGGAGTGATCTTCACTGGGCTCTGCACAGGGTCTCTGGGAATGACTTCCAAGCATGGGGTAGAAATAGGCGAAAGATCATACTGATGGATGAAGAACAGGATGCAGTGGTTCGATTTAAGAATCAGCCAGGTCAGGGGTGCCTGGGTGGCTCAGTGGGTTAAGTGTCTGCTTTGGGCTCAGCTCATGATCTCAGGGTCCTGGGATCGAGCCCCTCATTGGGCTCCCTGCTCAGCAAGGAGTCTGCTTTCCCCTTTCCCTCTGCTCCTCACTCCATTCATGCTCACTCAAATAAATAAATAAAATCTTAAAAAAAAAAAAGAATCAGCCAGTTATGAATCCTAACCCTCATCTCTTGTCTCTTGCTAAATGTTGCTTTTGCACAAGTCACTTACTGTTTGTTGGCCATTTTGATTTTAACATCTATAAAAACAGAATTAAATACATATTCTTGCAGGGTTGTTGGGATCCAAATAAACTGGGGTATGTGAAGCCCCCAACACTGTTCTAGCACATTGGAATGGCTGAATGAACAGCTACTATTATTTCTATTACTTACCAGAGACACCCCCAGTCACATAAATGGCCATTACAACTGCCATGGCAAATCCAACATTGATAGTGACAATTCCTCCAAAGAGACCTCGACTGAGGACAGCTTGGGCGACAGAGCCACATCCAAGGACCTGGAATGAGAGGAAGCTCAGTAACTAAGTGGAGAAGGCCACTGTCGAAGACAATGGAAAGTCGCAGGAATAAGAAATATGTTTAAAGCGGGGCGCCTGGGTGGCTCAGTTGGTTAAGCAACTGCCTTCGGCTCGGGTCATGATCCTGGAGTCCCGGGATCGAGTCCCGTATCAGGCTCCCTGCTCAGCGAGGAGCCTGCTTCTCCCTCTGACCCTCCCCCCTCTCAGGTACTCTCTCTCATTCTCGCTCTCTCAAATAAATAAATAAATCTTTAAAAAAAAAAAAAGAAATATGTTTAAAGCAAATGCACGGATTGGGCTGCCTCCGACTTCATGCAAATCAAATTATAAGGATCCAGCCAAGCCCAGATAGCAAAATGGCTTACAGATGAGTTTTGCTGGATGCCGGCACTGTTATTCTTTCCCCACTTGTCAATCGGGTAGTTTTACACACTGATCCAGGGTTCTGGCTCTTAGTTTAAATCAAACTTTTTATTTTGAGGCAGTGGTAGATTCCCTTGAGGTTGTAAGAAATAACACAGAAAGATCCCATGTATTTTTTACCCGCTGGTTCCTTTTAATCAATCAGAAGATCTAGCAGCCTCAAGGAAATAATATCCTGGGGCAGAGTAGGGGTCGGCCGCTCCCTTTAAACAGAGCCTGTGTGGGCTCAGTCACTTCCCTGCACTCCTGTGGTTCTCCTTCCTGGCCCCTGGAGGGGAGCGGGCAAGCTCTGCTCTAGAAGTTCCCAGCGCAAGCCGTTTCGGGCTCACAATCAGATGCACATCCGACACGTGGAAGGGCCACGGGTTCCACATACAAGGCCATGGGAAAGAGGGCCTGATGTGCAAGCAAAGAGAGGCAAACTGGGAGGGGGAGAGACTTGGCAATCAAGCCCTCCTCATCCCCGTGTCTTTTGTCCCTGTGGAGGCTGTCCTTCCCGAGGGAGCAGAGACTGCCAAACTCACTGCTGCTTGTACTCCCTCTGGCACCAAGCACGGAGCCGTGCTCACAGGAAGCACTGTGCAAACAGGTGTATAGTGAAGAAGTGCGATCGTGAGTCTTCCACAGTCTTCAGCTGTAGAGGGTACTGTGGAGAATGGGAGCAGTATTCAGAAATGGTTGGGATGAATATCTCATGGTACATCCCTTCAGCAGAGTGCTCTGCTGCTATATCATAGAATGAGGGAGGTCTGTGTGTCCCAGAGGGAAAGAGCCCCCATAGGTATTCTTAATTTTTAAGAAAAGATGCAGAGCAGTGTTAAGGCACACTGCCAACTGTATTCAAAACACGCTATATGTATTTCTTTTTATATGCATGAGCCGTCTTTATGAACCTAAAAGAGTAGGAGATGGGGTTGGACTCTGGTGGGGGCGAGGGGCAGCTAGATGGCCAGGGCTGGAAGAAAACTTTTCATTGCTTATCTTTTTTTTTCTTTTTAACCATGTGTTTTAGTCTCTTTGTACCACTATAAAATACCACAGACTGGGTGGCTTATACACAATGGATATTTATTTCTCATAGTTCTGGAGGCTGGAGGTCCAAGATCAGGATGCCGGCGTGGTTGGGTGAGGGTGCTCTTCCGGGTTGCAGACTTCTCTGTTGCATCCTCACAGAGCAGAAGGGGCAAGCGAGCTCTCTTGAAAGTCTTCTAAAAGGGTGCTAATCCCATTCATGAGGGCTCCACCCTCATGACCTAGTCACCTCGCAAAGGCCCACCTCTAATGCCATCACTGTGGGCATTAGGTTTTTAGCAAATGAATTTTGGGGCAGGGCGGGGGGCGACACAAACATTTTGACTGTAGCACCATGTAGTTCCTAATGTTTAGAAAATGGGTCCTATATACTCATTGAACAACCAGTCAAAAGCATTTAATCCTGGCCATGAAGGAAACATTTGGTGAGGGACTGAGTGTTATTGGGAAAGACAGAATAGTCACGTGCAAGTCTGGTAGGAAAGTAACAAGACAATAAATGGCCATCAGCCATCCTCATGCTGTGGTTTAAAGAGTGAGTGTGGTCCTGGAGGAGTGAGTTCTGGAACATGGGATCATTAAATCATAGCTCTTTGTGTGTTGAATTGGCCAAACTTTTTCCAGAATACACAGCCCAGCTTGGGTTTCATAATGAAAGAGCAACCGATTTCAGGAAGGGCTCAACATCAGGCAATGAATATTGTTTAAGGGCATATAAGGAAAGGTTTCAGAAGCAAATATACGTAAGGAAAAAGAGATTAAGAAGGTGGATGCTTCTTATCAGGAAGATAATAACCAGCCACTGTGTGTCTCTCCACGAAAGGATGAAAAGGGAAATCTGAGTCTGAAGTATGAGAGGTTACATGTGAACAATTTCCTGACAGCGATGAATTAATTCTAAATAGCTTCCCCCGGGTGCCTCTGTGAGATCTTTCACAGAAATATAATTTATGAACAATAATTTAATACATATAGAATGATTTTAGATTATTCCTCCCTGAAAGCAGAGAAATTATCTTGATCTTTCAACAGCTTCTGTAATCCCCAGTTCTAAGACGTATTGCCTCATCTTAGTTCCACTTGCTAGACAGTAGGGTTAAGTAGGTGGGCTTGACATCTTGAGGGGAGCCCTTGGGCTACACACAACACACATGCACAGGCTGGGCCCCAGACCCCACAGGGAATCTTAACTAAAGGGGTAGTAGTAACATGTTCCCTTTTCCCTATTCAAAAATACCACCTGGGTCCATTTCATGGCCTATCAATTCCACTTAGACAGGACCTAATTTTTTTTCTAGAATCCCTATCTATTTTAGTAACTATCTGAATGAATACCACCACCACACTGGTGTCTTTCTTTTTAATTTCAAGCCAATTAAGCGAACCATGCACAACTTCTACGCTAACTGGCATTTTGACTGCATCTTCTGAAAAGAGGAATGAAATCTTACTGACAGCTGACATGACCTGATCTAGACAACTGGGGGTAAGAGGAGACACATCCAGACACGGGCCAGTCCTGACGTATTACTGCTTCCTACTATGTAAGCGTCTTCCCTCTTTTGAGGTCTGATGCACGTGCGCCTGTGCTAGTCTAGAGGGGGCAGAAAAGCTTTAAATGGCCCCGGCGGGTTCGGGGAGGCCTCCCCGCTGTCAAATTTCACAATGATTAACACTCTCTTCTTCCACCCTACATGCTGAAATTGTTTTTTTATTCTTTCCTCAGGAGGATGACTAATGCAGTGCTCTACAGGAAAGGAAGGAGGAGAAATGAACAGTGTGGGGACTCCAGTGACCCTCATTTGAAATTGCCACTCGGAAGATTTCAGCCCAGATTCACATCATTGCTTTTTAATTTTAAAATATATTTATTATAGCCAGAAAGGCAGTGAGGTGATGATGATACCACCTTCTGGTATCATCCCTTGCCTGCCTCTTCCCACCTGCATCCAAGCACCAGGGAGGCAGAGCTTGGATATCCTGAAGTACCACGGCCAGATCGCTGTGTAATTGTCACCCACTCTGGTTTTCTTCTTTGTGCCCAGTGTAATTCTTCCCCTTCCAAAATGAGAGAACTGTCCTTCATGGTATTACTGAGAGAATTTCCAACATGATTCCCTGCCCTAACCTTTAAACAAACTGCCCAACCTTTCCCCTTCTTACGTACAGAAAGAGCCTATTATCATATCCAGCTTGTCTCAATTTTCTGGTCCCACTATCTGGAAAGCTGTTGTGGGCCCATCACCCATTCATACTCTCGCCACACCTAACCTGTGTTCTCTGAAATTCAACTGTACCGTCCGTACTATACAATTGGTGCTTAGTTGTTTTCCAAGTGCCGGATCTTGGTCTCCTTATCTAGAAAACAATCTCTAAGATTCCTTTCCAGACCAACAGCAAACAATATGCTGGCCTACTTTGTTTCATTCTGTTTCCTTAGGTGTTGTGTTTCCCAAGTCCACCACCCCCTCCTCCTGTGCCGGCCATCTACACACCTCCAAGTTCTCTTCCACCTTTTTGTCAGGATCTGGCATCTGCTCAATTTAGCTTCCTTCTCCAGGGGAGTTAGAAAACTCACAGAACCATGTAGGGGAGGGAGGTTATTACCAATCATGGATCTAGTTCTCACTGTGCCCTTCACTGTGCCCCCAAAGCTCCTCATTCATCTCTCATTCATATTCGCCCAATAGCTTCACCAAACTTTCTCTTCTCTCATCAGCCCAACCCACCAACCCCCTTTCTGCAAATAAGACCACCTTCTACTTGACTCAGCACCTGTAAGTTGCCTTGAAGATTGGTGGCAATTTAGAATATCGCACAAACATTGTGTCCCAGTTACCCAGCACTACATAACTACCCCCCAAACTTAGTGGCTTAAAATGATAACATTTATTTTGCTTGCGAATCTGGAATTTGGGCAAGGCTGGGCAGAGCATCTCATCTCAGCTCCATTTGGTATCAAGTGTGATGGTTCAAAGTTGGAGGATTAGAATGATCTGAAGGCTAACACGTTCATGTGTTTAGTGGTTGATATTGGCTGTCAGCTGATGCCTTGGCTGGAGTGTTGGCCAAAGCACCTACAAATGGCCTCTCCATGTGGCCTGGCTTCTTCACAGCCCCGTGGATGGGTTCCAAGGGTGAGCACCATGGAGTCTCCAGAGCCTGTGGTCTCAAACCCAGCACAATGCTCTCTCCTCAGCCTCAACACTACACTGGTCCTGAACTCAATGGCAAACATACTTGGTCTGATAGATATAGGCATTTTCCCTACAACATCCTAAATAGGTGTTCATCTGGTCTGTGTTGGATTACCGTGAGACATAGGGAGCTCATTACCACATCGGGCAGCTTGTTCTTTATATTTTTTATTGTTCCAGTGGCTAGGGAGTCTTTCCTTACATGAAGTTGGAATCCTCTCTCCTGTAATTTCTGTCTGTTAGGCCCATTCTCGGGGACATAAAGCATAAGCCTCTTCCACATGCCAGGCCTTCCAATAAACGGGGGGAGTGTGAGGTCCTCTCTGAGTTCTCTTTCCTGGATGCCTGTCCCTTCATCTTTGATTCCTGGTGAGTTTCACCCGGTCAAGCTCTGGGTTGTCAGCATCCCTCTTAAAACACAGAACCCAGAAATGGACACAATCCTCCCATATTCGTGCATCACATTACGACGGGGTAAGTCATCCTGTACCTTCTGCTCATTGCTTCTATTGCCATCTAGTGGGGTACTCAGGCACAGGATGTACTTTAACTGTGTACGTATCTATGCCCGGTTTTCCCAATTTTATAAGGTACTCAAGATTCTGTATGAAACGTCTTTGTCTCTGTAACAGCATCTAGTGTATTGGAGGGAACTAAATAACGAGATTCGAGGTGCTCTTTCCAGGTATGACAGCCGGTGTCTGTGTAAATGACACTTCTCAGTATCAGCTTGATCACCTATTAAAGGATAATAATGATACCAGCCAGGCTTGTTTTGTAGGGTAGTTTAGTAAAGGTTCAAATGGGAAACAATAATGAAAGCACTATTTAAAGAACAAAGGGCAATGGCAAGTGCAGGATATTGTTGCTTTTAGTATAAACTCAAAAGGAAACCCCCACTTTAGGGTGAATATGTTAAGACAAAGGGACTCATGAACTTAACTGCTGACTCACTGACTGGCAATAAAAACAGGGAGAAAACCACATCTGTGACAGATACTAGAAATAGTTGCTGTTTCATTCCTAGTCATAGGATCAAAATTTGCAGAAGAGGGGAAGTGGGAAGCTGACAAGAGCTTCAGGTTGTTTTGCCTACTCGTGATTCCTCTCCAAAGCTAGGTCCTTTCATAGTTGGTGAGGTTTTAACACTTTTGGTGGGAAAGCCACACTAGAAAAGAGGAGAGGGCAAATACTGTTGCTCTTCTCAGGTGCCATGCATGGTAGGAACGGGAGAAAGAATTTCCGTGGAAAAGCAAGAAGGACATTTGAAAGGCAGAATTCCTCCGAAAGACTGACTGGTGACTAGTCATTCTCAATCACCCAGGGCAAACATTCTGGAATCATTTGGTATTCCTTCCTCTTCTCTCCCTTTACCACCCATAGCTAGCCATTCCCAAATATTTGGAGGCTTTTCTGCAGCCCCCAACCAGCATCCCCACCCCCAGGGTCTCCCCACTCAGTGACCATGCCAGAGGGAGCACGACTCATCACACTGCTCCCCCAACCATTACTCGGGAAATGGCAGCACAAGCCCCTCCCCCTGGTACTCAGAGCTCTCCAGGGTCTTGCCTCGTGACCCCATCCACTTTATGCCCAGTATTCTCCAGCATAAATCTGCATCAGCCACCCTGGCATCCCAGTCACTTTGAGTCCTTTGAGCTCATGACACTCGTTCCCACCCTGCACACCAGCTCATGCTCTCTACCTTCTAGCAGAATGTCCCTTCTCTGTCTGTCCCTTTCTGCAACCAAACTCAATGTATTCTTGACACTGACCTAAAATCCTACCTTTTCTGTGGGGCTTTCCTTTGACAACTTAAGCCCTCAGAGACCTCTTCTGCTTCTTCTGCTATGTCTTTACAACAGTATTTCGTTACATAACACCTTGCCTCGGATCACCCTACCAAGACTGTAATGTCCACTGCGGCAGCTCATGCTTCTTTATATTCCATCCTCAAACAATATCTGATGGAATATATTAAAATATCTAAACATAGGGGCACCTGGGTGGCTCAGTCGTTAAGCGTCTGCCTTCGGCTCAGGTCATGATCCCAGGGTCCTGGGATCAAGCCCTGCATCGGGCTCCCTGCTCAGCGGGGAGCCTGCTTCTCCCTCTCCCACTCCCCCTGCTTGTGTTCCCTCTCTCGCTGTGTCTCTCTCTGTCAAATAAATAAAAAATAAAATCTTAAAATATCTAAACATAAGCAGGGGGGAAAAAACCCTGTGTAAATTTCTTTTCAATAGAAACAGGGGATAGGATGTGAGAAATGGGAGCTGTAATTTTTAAGAAATCTCAGCTGGGCTGCTGGGAAGTTCCCAGTTGAGCCATGACCGCTATGACAAGCTGATTACTGGACACAATATAAAACCTAAAGAGGTAAAGTGATTATCACAAACAAATGCTGGGATGGGGAGAATCATAAGCCCACAGATTTTATTTCATTTGACCATTCTCAAATCTCTTGGGTATCTGTTACTTCCTTTAAAGTGCAAACTAAGATGTTCTTAACACGGTACACAGTGTATAATAGACACTGAACACGTATCTCTTTAGTCAGTATGTAAAAACTGAGCCCTTTGGGAAAGCAGTAGTTAATAAAGGCCAAAGATTCTTTAGAAAATGTTTGCAAATGCATGCAACGTGAGACCAGGGATCACCAGGGGACCTTGTGATTATTGCAAGGGGTCTGTGATTCTCTGTGCTCATCAGACATTGTCCAAAGAAGGAAAGGATAACATGTCTTGTATAGTACATGCCTTCTGTAGTTCAGTGTTGTCAGAATTAATGGATACTGAAAGAACAGTTGAAAGGGCTTCTTGGCCAGTACTGTCATGGACTTCAGAGCTAAGGCTGCATGAAATGTTTAGTGTCTGTACTCATCTGTTTAGGGCAGTATGGGTAAAAAATACAAACACCGGGGACACTCTCTGTGCCCGCTCCCAGGCGAAGTGCTTTACCTGTATCACTTCATCCTACCAATGTCCACTCACCCTGGGAGAAGAGGACAGGATCACTATCTCCACTTTATGGATGAGCAAATGGAGGCTGAGAGAGGCCAAGCAAGTTCTCCAGGGTTATGTAATAAAAACAAAGGAGACAGAACCTGGATTTGATCCCAGGTCTGTCTTATTCGGAGGCCTGCGCTTTTAACCATTACACACTGGATGGAGTGAGAGGTCATCCAAGACAACCAACACCCCCAAGAATTCATGGCAATATTCAGGGAGACCAGTGAGGTCCCACGGAATGTGGGGTTGGGACACCAGTTTTCCCAATCTGCACGCTACAAGTGAAGGGCTGTCCGGGAGTGTTGAAGGACTTGGAGACCCAACAGCTGTCTCTTACCCATCTACCCTACCCGCACTGTAAACCAGATGCATTGGGCTGCGGAGAAAGGACTGAGGATGAAGCTCATTTGGGAATCTTCCTGTAATTCTGGGATTTTGCGCCAAGACAAGTGCATTTTCTGGTGACAACACATGTGGTCACTCTGGTTCAGAAAAATACCCAACACTTGTGCTTTTTCACCAAAGCTTCCAATGACCTAGGGAAACATCCTCTTCAGCCCCATTTGCCTCCTTTCTCAGAGGTCAGTGAGACGGGGGTGATGAAGCACAGCTTTTCGGTTTACGCAAGATCGATTTCACTGAGTAATATTTGCTTGCCTTCTAGCTCCCCCTGCACAGACAGCTTCCACTAGATAACTGAACTCTCACCAGGAGAATACTAGACCAGAAAGCCCATCAGACCCTTTCCTCTTGTTCTTTTTGGCTCGCTCCTTTTCTCAGAGTGTCTCCCAACTCTGTGGTCAGCAGCAGCCGGCACACTCATGCCCCTAATGCTGACCAAACCTGCCTGGCCCTGGAAGCGAATAGGCTGAGATAATCATGGGGCGGGCCTCTTCGGCACAGATGAACCACACTCACGAATCAAACAGACTTCTGGCGGCACTAGCCAATGTTTGGGGACTTCTAGCACTCATATCTGTTCTCAACACCAGGACCCGAGAAGCCAAGCATTTCCCCCACTCCCGCTTGTCCCTTTAACCAGAGCCAAAGAAGTAACTCAAGTGGCCACTGAGAATAAAATGCCCCAGTGGCTTCCAAGGTCACTTGGCTAGTATTTATTTCTCTTCTCCTGAAAACTTTTCTAGAAAGTTAGTATGCTTTAATCCGGTAGTGCCAGTCTGCGGCATGGTTGCTGGGGGTCACGTGGGCAGCAGCAATGGGACCCAAGAATGTGAGTCATGTATGGCTGTTGACCTTGTACGTTGCTGCCGGTCTTCTTAGAAGTAGGTAAGCAGTGTATTTTAAATGAAAAATATCCTTCAGTAGAAAATTTGTCATTCAATGTAAATGCTCACCAGACAGAAGTCAGCATTAAAAGAGTATATCTGGGGCAACATTTGTATTTTAAATAAACTGATTTGTTTTGGGTTTAAATAAACTGATTTGTTTACACACACACACACACACACATTACAAATACTCTCTTTTAGTCCACATAATAACTTGAGGGGGAGGAAAACTCTGCTGTTTTCATCCAAAGAAACCTTGGGATAAGTAATTTGCTGGAGGACATACAGCTAGTGAAAAGATCTTTTGGAAACTAAAATTAACATTTGGGTCCAAAGATTCTGCTTTTTCACTTAAACTAAACTGCCCTCAACTGTGCAGGAGCCAAATAAGTAGTTTGTCCAGATTTGTGCTTTATGAGTCTGTCTTTCAAAAAGCAAAATTGGAGGAAACTAAGATCCTCAATTCTACAAGTAGCCCTCATTGGAATTTGGCATTCATCCAGCCATTCCTTCCACTCTTCATTTATTCCTCCATATATAGGTACATTAAAAAATTCTCAGTGCCATGCATGATGCCCAATAGTAGCAGGGATGCAAAAAAAATCAGACCCAAGTCCTCTGAGAGCTCACAGACTGGTAGGAAAAGTATGGATGAAGGGTGGTACTGTTATTTAATATTGTAGGCTTGTTATTAAAAAAATGCCTTAAGCATTTATGCCTAGGGAAAGTGTACATGAAGATGTGATTTTGTAATTTTGCCTTATTAACTAGATGATGGTTATTTTGACATTTAAGTCTCCCCAAATTCTTGAATCATCTGACATAATACTATTAAATCTGAGGTATATTAATATATGCACATGACAGATTGGCCTCATGAGAAACTTGATTAAAATTACATGATATCAGGGCGCCTGGGTGGCTCAGCCAGTTAAGTGTCTGCCTTCGGCTCAGGTCATGATCCCAGGGTGCTGGGATCGAGTCCCGTGTCGGGCTCCCTGCTCCGCGGGGAGTCTGCTTCTCCCTCTCCCTCTCCTTCTGTGTGTGCTCTCTCTCTCTAGCTCTCACTCTCTCTCAAATAAATAAATAAAATCTTTAAAAAAAAATTACATGAGATCAAGATTTCTCTTCTGATACTGCCTGAAATAAAAATGGTTTTCACATGGGGCAACTGGGTGGCTCAGTCTGTTAAGCGTTTGCCTTTGGCTCAGGTGGTGATCCCAGGGTCCTGGGATTGAGCTCTCTGTTGGGCTCCCTGTTCGGCGGGAAGTCTGTCTCTCCCTCTGCCCCTCTCCCTGTTCCTGCTCTCTCTCTCTCAAATAAATAAATAAAATCTTTTAAAAAAATGGTTTTCACACTATTGCCTCAATCAGTTTTGCCAGGTGTTAGGACAGGAAAAGAAAAGGACAACAATCTCGCATGCAGGAATTAGATTTCCCATAGCCAGGCCTCTTATAAACAGATGATATTGAACAGAAGGCTAAGACCCTCATGGTCTCTCCATTTTCCCTATTCTGGTGAGCATATTTTGTCTGTGTAGAATGCGGTTAAGGACACCTTAGAGCAGAGTCACAAACTGGTGGTCCATGGCTGAAGACAGCTTATGAGTGGGATGGATTGACTCAGAGATATGTTTGTTTGGCCTACACGGTGCTTTTTTTTTATCATTATTATTTTAGAAAATGTTGCCAGTATTTAAAAAGAGAAACATTGCATAGAACTTTTGATTTCTGACCATTTTTGAAAAACTTGAAAATCTGATAAAAACCCACCCAATTCCTACCTGGCCACAGTGGAGAGAGCCTGGGTGGCAGATGCATCCTAAGACAGGACATACACTGTCCACTTCACTCATATACATGACCTGCCTCATCTCAATAAGCTTTGGGGCTACTGACTCCCATCTGAAGTCCTGGGAAGAGAAAGCCATTTAGCTTTTGGTGCCAGGGACTTGTTGGCCCCACCGATGGTGTGGTGATAACATCTCTGGGATGAGAGGTAGCCCAGCCTCTCAGTTCCTGGAAGGAGAATCTGTGGAGACCTTCAAATAAAGGACTGACCACGGGCATGACTTCATCTAAGGTGGCAGTGATAGGGAGACCAAAAACCCAGTCCCCTTTCTTGAGGCGGGAGTCACTTTGGGGCTTTGCCAGAGGTTCCCCTCCTCCTATAAACATCTTGCTTTTTGTAATGGGAGAGGAAGGAGAACAAATGCCAATCTGCCAGCATATTCTCGGCAAACCTTGGCCCTCCAGCCCAGGCTGTAGGTATATGTTACCAGAAGCCCCACATCCTACCTCTCATATATCTACTCAGTTGATGTGACTATAGCCGTTGGAAGACATAACGATAATAGTCACAACAACAACTAATGTTTATTGAGTGCTTTTTATGAGCTAAGCACTTTCCATACATTAGCCCATTGGTCCGCACAACAGCCCTGTGTGTCAGGTCCTCTTACTTCCTCCATTTCACAAATGAGGGAACGAAGTTTTTAGGGAGGTTAAGAGAATTTCTCACACTCTCACGGGTGGTCAACGATGGGGCCCCGGTTTGACTACACATAATTCTGACCACTGGATAAGTGAACATAGCATGTATACCACACTGTCACGTACATTACCTGCCAACGTTTAATCTACATTTCAAAAGTGGAAGACTGGAAAGAGACAACCCAGAAACAGACTCTTAACTCTAGAGAACAAACTGATGGTTACCAGAGGGGAGGCGGGTGGGGGGATGGGTGACATAGGTGAGGGGGATTAAGGAGTGCACTTGTGATTAAGACCCGGTATTGTGCAGAAGTGTTGAATCACTGTATTGTGCACCTGAAACTCATGTTGCACTGTATGTTAACTAACTGGAATTAAAGTAAAGACTTAAAAAGTGGAAGACTGGATAATTCGACAAAATTCATACAGATAATAAGTGGCAGAATCTGAACCTGGAGCCAGGTTTTCGGATTCCTAGTTCTGTGTTCCTCTTCTGACAACCGCTACTGTTTCGGTGGGTCTGCTTGTTCCCTTTATTAGGGCAGAATGCATATTTATGTATGGCTTTCCAGTCAGCTAGTTTTTCAATTGGAAAATAAAATTTTCTCAGTCATAACAAAATAGTCACAAAAAAAACCCAAGACTGAAACTGGGACGTTTTGGTTAAAAATAAAGTATTTGGTGGCACGCAGCCTGAGAGAACATCAGGATAAGATCAATCACCACTCAAGAACCAGCTGTACTTGCAAGGAGATGATATTAGGGCAGGCTCATAAAAACAGGAATCCAAGGTTTGAGAACCAGGTGAATGGGCAGATGGCCAACCTCAGAGCTCTCTGAGTAGAAAGAAGTACCAAGAACAAAATTGGGCCTCAGAAATATAAGGTGATTAAACACCATTATTTCTCACAAGCTAAAAAGAACAACGCTCTTCTTTTCTGACCTACATCAGGCATTCACATCCCTCAACTCATCCAAATAATGCTAGCTTGGACAAGAACTTGATCATGATCCCAGCGCCAGAATAAGGAACTAATTAAGCATTTATTTATTATTTATTAAGCATTATTTATTTATTATTAAGGTGTCAGTGTTCATATTAGGATAACCATGGTCTGATTATGCTGAATGTGGATGGGGGTTGCTCAAGACAGCTCTCCCTTTATTTAGAGTGGTCTAACAATGTTAAGTACACCTTGGGTCACTTTCAGTTTGGAAGAACCCTGGAGACAGAGGAATTGGGGGCTGATTAGTTTCTTAGATTCATTCTAGGCCCTGCAATTCCCAAAGTATGTTCCATAGATCATCAGTTCCATGAGATGCTCCTCAAAAAAAGGGATTTGTGCAGCAGCTGTGTTAATCTTCTCTGCGTCATTCCAATTTTTCTCCAAAGAAGACATACAGATGGCCAACAGACACATGAAAACATGCTCAACATCACTCAACACCAGGGAAATAAAAATCAAAACTACAATGAGATATCACCTTACACCTTTCAGAATGGCTAAAATTAAAAACACAAGACATAACAAGTATTGGCGAGGATGTGGAGAAGTAGGAACCCTTGTGTGCTGTTGGTGGGAATGCAAGCTAGTGCAGCCACTGTGGAAAACAGTATGGATATTCCTCAAAAAATTAAAAATATAACTACCATATAATCCAGTAATCATATTACCAGGTATTTACTCAAAGAATATGAAAACACTAATTCGAGAGGATATACACACCCCTATGTTTATTGCAGCATAATTTACAATGGTCAAATTATAGGAGCAGCCTAGTGTTTAATGATAGATGAATGGATAAAGAAGATATGTACAATGGAATATTATTCAGCCATAAAAAGGAAGAAATCTTGCCATTTGCAACAACATGGATGGATCTAGAGAGTATAATACTAAGCAAAATAAGTCAGAGAAAGATAAATACCATATGATTTCACTCATATGTGGAATTTAAGAAACAAGACACACGAATAAAGGAAAAACAGAGACAAACCAAGAAACAGAGTTTTAACTCTAGAGAACAGACTGGTGGTTACCAGTGGGGAGGTGGGTGGGAGGATGGTTGAAATAGGTGAAGGGGATTAAGAGTACACTCATCTTGATGAGCACTGAGTAATGTAGAGAATTTTGAATCACTATATTGTACACCTGAAATCAATATAACACTGTATGTTATATTGCTATATAACATACAGTTATAACTGTATGTTAACTCTAATGGAATTAAAATTTAAGGAAGGGATTTGTGGTCAAGTGAGTCTGGGGACATCAATATATTCTATTCCCCTCTTAGTTTATAGTGAACAATAAAAGCTCTGACAAGTCCTATAGTTGAAAAAAACTGCCTAACTTGGTTTAACCCAGTGTTTTCCAAACATATTTGGGAAGGTCAGTATATTCTCTTTCAAAATTTGTATTTGCATCTCATGGAACTAGTGTTCTTTAGAACACATTTTGAGCAACTCCCTACTTGGAAAGGAGAAATTCTGCTAAGTGAGCTCTTTTAGGGGGAGCAGAGGAGGGAAGAAAATGTACATAAATACATAAGATTTTTTTAATTACAAAAGGTATACAATAAAATATAAGAAATTTGTCTCTTTTCTATCCCAGATTTTATATTTTATTCTTTACAGAAACTAATATCAATACTTTCTGGTATATCCTGTCAAAAATTGTATGTGTGTGTTTATAAAGTTGGAGTATTTTATACATATCATTTTCTGCCTGCTTTTTAAAATTTGATAGTTTAATGAATCGTTTCATATCAGCATATAAAAATTGGCCTCATTATCTTTAGTGGCTACATAGGTGTCCATTGTAAGCATGCACCCCAATTTCTTTAACCACTTACCTGTTGATAGAGGCATAGGTTTTTCGGGAGGTTTCCTCCTAAGAAAATCTAAACTTCAAAACAGAGACTAATGTATGTGGGCTGATTCTAGGCTGAGAAAGACTAGGCCCTCGGGTCCTTTTTGGTCTTGCCTGGCCAAGCCAGGACTGTGTGTCTTAGCATGATCACTCAATCTATCAAGAGGGGGGAAAATTTCGTTGGCATATTTTCTTTTAAAGAATTTGCTTTGCTTTGTGGGTTCAGTGGCCTTAGCAATCCTACCTCAGACATGAAATAAGGTGCCCACTAGATGTACAGAGTAGTCTTCATTGTTGGGCTGTTTTAGCATTTCAATCAGATCTATCAGTTATCTCACTTTTATGAGGATTCTCTTCCTCATGGTCCCTCATTTTATGTGGTATCTTCATCACAAGGCTGATGAGTAAAGAGGAGCCAACTTCTGCTCTCATTTCTATGTTCTCCTTTCTTGTCAAGTAATGGGAACATGTTGCAATGGGCTTTGTCACTAAAGAAAAACCAACCAAACCCACTTTGGAAAGCAGAAAACAAAAGTACTTCCTCTTTGAAAGTCAATGAAAGTGGCAAGTTTTCTGAGTCAAAATTCAAATTCAGGGATCAAAAGCAGAGTTCTGTTTGGCTTTAGGTGTCTGTAGCCTTTAGATCAGTGACCCAAAATGGACTTTTCTCCCCAAGTTCTTTGGAACTCTGAAATTTTCCGGGCTAGTCTGGCCCTTCATGTTCAGGGCTGTTAAGGGGAAGTCTATAGGAAAGTCCTCCTTCAGCTGATCCTGACTCAGGCTCTAAGGACACGAAGAGAACCAGCTTCATTTGGAGAAAGCATGGGATTTCCTAGTCATTCATGGTCACAAATCCCATGTGGGGGAAAGGGAGCCGAGAGCCATTCTTCTGGGAGAGTGCTCTTCAACAGGGCATGCACATTCATCAATCTTCCTTTTCCAGTTTTCCACTTCACAGTAATAATTTCTGGTTGGTGATATACCTGGACAACCTAGCAGAAACAAATGCAAACCTGCTGTAGAAGAATGACTCCACAGCTCAGGCCATATAGAATTCCCACAGAGAAAAACAAACCTTCCTGAAGAGTTCACAATACAAATTTACAAAACACTAAAGGAAATGATCCTTCATCAATGAGACTTAGTAGGTAAAATAAGCAGGAT